AATCAACACAAATCACACCAAATCTCCTAGAGATGTGAAAAACTGTACATATTGATTATGCTATACATTCCTAAACACTGAGTACTGCTGTTTAGTGCATACTGTTTGTAAGATACAATAACTCATACAACAATTCGGACACCAAAAACTGAAACCAAATTTGCTATGCTATTCACGATACAGGTAGCAGCACATAACATAATCACTATGCAATAAAGTCAACAAATAAGAACTCTTTGTATACCAACCTGTAGTAACCTCTACTAGTTGAAGCGATTGGAGTGGGTTTAATGACAAACACTATAACCCCTGTCACGACAAGGATATATGACAGGAAGTACAGTGGATGGAACTGAAAGGGAAAATTAGGTTTGTTAATTCTTACTGTATTGAGTGCCATCTCCTTTATGGTTGTGATATATCTCGCATATTGTATCTAATGGTATGATCTTCATAGTGAATAAAATAAAACAAAAGTAATGTCTAAGTATCCTTTTCTATCTTAGTAAATCATCTTTACATTGCTCAGACTAAGACATTTATCTATATCTAATATGTTCAGAAAGATGGCTGACCTAGAATGGTTTACACTTCTCTATCTACTGAGAAATTACTACTTTTCATTCACTTTCTTTCCTATAATTAACCTAATAATCAATATACCATTAACAGCTTTTGTTCACGTCTTATTTTTTTTCTCTACGGCTAATACACCTGAAATTTACTGCTGATTATCAGATAAAAACCAATATACAATTTCTCTTTTGGAGATGAATGTTTGCAAGTGCCTGGCATTTATAAATATAAACATAAATATATAAAGTTAACAAATAGATAGATAAATAAATAAATAAATAAATAAATAAATAAATAAATAAATAAATAAATAAATAAATAAATAAATAAATAAATAATCATAAATAAATAAATAAATAAATAATAAATAAATAAATATATATATATATATATATATATATATATATATATATATATATATATATATATATATATATATAATATATATATATATGCACAACACACACACACACACATCCACACATACATATACAACAACACACACATCTACATCTACATACATCCACACAACACACACACACACACACACAAAAAAAACTCCAAATATATCTGCACACTTGCTTTGAGAGGCAAGACACTGAAGAAAATGGGATAAGGAGCAACTGTTTTAAATGTTTTAATCCTTAAACATTTACTCTTCTTGTCTCATTAAAATGCATTAATTGAAAACAGAACGAGGCTTGTGTGGGCTTCCCTTTCCACACGGTATTGCCTCTTGCTGAATGTTCTCTGATTTAATCATCTGGCAGCTGAATAATAATGATAATGATAATAGTAGTCATAGTAATAATAATAATAATAATAATAATAATAATAATAATAATAATAATAATAATAATAATAATAATAATAATAATAATAATAATAATCGTAAAAAAATAATAATGATAATAATAATACCATTAATGATATGAATGATCATGACAATGACAACAATAATAATAACAATGAAAATAAAAAATGGCAATGATAATGATAACAATAAAATACTAATATTAATAATAATACCAATACTAATGATAATACCAATACTAATAACAGAAATATGAAGACGAAAAGAGAGGGAGGAGCAGAAAAGGGTCCAACATTTTTATTTGGTTATTTTTTCCAACCTTCTATAAATAAGGTGGCAGAAATATTTACTATTAGGGTTACTACAATTCTCCACAAGATGTGTAGTTTCTAATTTGTTTCCTACAATGTGTGTTCTGTTTTTAATTTTTGCAATGAATACAGTGAATACAAATTATGTCTTCAGTTCCTATCTTAATAATACATAATGCACTACTACTATCATATCTTTTTCTCAAACACACAATAAAGATGGAATCTCGATGTAAATCATTATACATAGCATACAATAATTTATTTCAATATAATTTATTTTCATCTTTCTGTTACTTCTATTATAATGTCTACAACATTACCAACCTGTTAGATAATATAACATGTAACTCAATCATTTTTCTTTTCCTGGCATTTATCAGGACTCGATGTATTTCTTTACTGTTATTATCATTCCTCACAATATACACCACAGCGCATCAACGTCTGATCTATGACTATTCCATATAATAACTATTTTTCTTGAGGTTATCTTCTTTTACAGACCTTATACTATACTCCCGAGGTTGCCTTGTGGGCATTTGGGAGATTTCAACAATGGGGGAGGGAGTGATTTGGTCATTTTTTTCTTGGCCGTCAATGGTCACCACTCTTGGCCTGTTTTCCCCATGCATGTTTAGAGAGTCAGTGTTCCTAGTCAAGTTTATGTATAGAGTGCGTTTTCATTTCACAGTGCTACTGCACGTGAGAATCCTGGCCCATGAGTACCCGTGCAAATTACGGAGTTAGACTGTCATCAGTCATCTCTCTGTGGAAAATTTATGAAGGCTTGCCACAAGCCACGTAAGTTGCCATGGGATGTTTAGGTAACAGGGCGTTGGGTAGCTTTTTGGACAGAAGCCAAAGACAGGTTCTGCCTTCTTAAGTCCAGACATTCCCATCATTTCTGTTCTTACGGTCAGATAGCGCGCTTTCCGGGAAGTTTCCGTTAAGGGATCATCTTTTCAAGGCCATGGCTGTCAGGATCCAATGCCACTTCTCATCTCATGCCATCTCTCTACGTGATGTGGTGTACGTTTGGAGGTCAATTATATTTCATTATATTCTACAGGGTTCCCTTCTTCTCCTCTGTATCTTATTTCAGAGAGTTCGTGCGTTTATGTTACATTTAATCTTTCCTATGTAAATGGTTGCGATCATAGTCCAAAAGGGTCCGTAACATCAGAATTCAAGAACTCCGGGTAATTTCGCAGGCTCTGTTTTGCGACCAATTAGTCTGAAACATCTCTGGGTGCGGGAAGCTGGTTGACTCCACGTCACCCCATCACTATCTCTGAGCTCTAGATGCTTCTGTTGATACCGCCTCAGTCCAGGTACAGTCGGTCAACATGGTGATGTCTGCTACCTTATGAATGAAGGGCTCCTGGTTAGCCACGCTCCTACACGTCGGAGTGAAAGTCATAAAGAATGTAAAACCTGGAACTCTGAATAACGGCTTTACATCCCACAAGGTCAATGGCGTCATTTCAGCTTTTCCTTGGGTGGGGGGGGGGGGGGGGGGTTGGCGATCAAAGGAGGAATCAGTTCCTGGGGAGCTGCGGGCATCCGAGAAAAATGAAAAATGAGCCATTCTTGTAGCATTTTTAAGTTACGACCAGAGATATAAAGGTGTAATATAGGAAAATAAAGAGAAAAAAAAGATCGTGGGAATGTGGCCCTCAGGTGGGGCAAGCCAGACCTCAAGGGGGCAATCAGAACTTGTTTAGCTCCCGTCCCCCCCAGAATGACGCCCCTGCGCAGGGACTGAAAACCGGTGCACCTCGGCGGAATGAGCAACGAAACTATTGCTTCTTATCTGCTAATCTGATGACGAGGTGGAGGGTTCCTCATGTTGGTCTGGGTTCGTCACAGAGTAGTTACAGATTTGACAGGCTTCTCTGGATGTGTAACCAGAAAGGGAAGGGCGTATGACCACGTTTTGTCATCTCTAATATCTTCCGTGTCACCAATGGTCAACAAGCTAAGGAACTTTTTGCGGACGTGTTCTTCTCCCAACTCCTCTACGGAAGGCTCTGGTATGGTCGCACGGCCATAAGTGTGACCCACAAGTGTTCCTTAAGTGGGTCCTTTGGGCCTTCTGCTTACATGCGTGGTACGTCTTCGTAAGGCAGGATGTCGGTCCTTTCCAACAGCAGAAAACCTCACAGCAAGGCATAGGTCGAAACCCTTTGCTCTGTGAGTCATGTTGGGTTACGTTTCAGTGGTTCCCTCCGGAGACGAGACCCGGTCTCACGTGTCACTGTGCACGGTACACACCGTGCACAGTGACACGTGTTTTCCGGCTGGTGGTCGAGCAGTTCAACCACTTTCTGAGCATCGTCGCCCTGACCCCGTGTCCTTATGGCCTTTGATATATAACTATAACTATATCTATATATCTATATAAACATATATAAATGAATTACTTTGATTATGCACTTAGGCATCTCTGTAGCAGACATCCCTGTGCATATCTCCCCACTGATATTTTATCTCCCTCCGCCCGACCACGACCCCCAAGGACACCCCACAGACCACGCCTATTCCTCCCTCCATGCCCCAAGACATCCCCCAACCCACGCCCCTCCCAGGGCCAACGCCGCCGCCCCTCACCCACCTTGAACTTGAAGAGTGCGATGCCGGTGATGAGGATGTAAAAATCAGCCGTGAACAGTGCCAGGTTGAGTGCCGTGGCCGAGGTGACCCGGATGACGGCTGGTGCCACTACGTAGAAGAGGAACTGAGCGGCACTGAAGCCCCCACCAGAGCCAGCACGGGCCAGGTGTCCCAGCGCACGGACCCCACGTCGTTGCGCTCTAGGATGGCACTGAGGGGAGAGAGGGGGGGGGGGGTGATGAAAGATGGCATCACACGGGATTAAAAATGCGTTGGTTGTCAGGTTTAATAAGTGTGGTTCTTGGGGGGTGGGGTGGGGGGGGGGGTAATTAAAATTTCAAACAAGAATAAAAAAAAATGTTAGACCTAATATTTTTCTCGTAATTAAAAATGCTGTCACAAAAAAAAATAAAAAAATAATTGTTAAGTTTAATAATACATTTTTGGTGTGTGTGGACGCATTAATAATAATTAAAAAATCACACAGGAAAGGAACAAAAAATATTAATTATCAGATTTAATAAATATGAAATCTGGAGGGAGGGCGATGCACAGGGGGTGGACTAAAAGGATGGATAAATGTGGATGGCGAGAAAGGAGACGGAAAGATAAGATGGGATTATGGAGAAAAAAGGATAAGAGAGTGGATAGAAGAGGGAGGTGATGAGAGAAGAGAGAGAGAG